ACATGCACAGATTTCACATGCACAGATTTGTGTGCACACATTAGGGCTGTCAAAAAAGAATTCGAATTTTGAATATTCGTCAAATTTAAAATAAAAATCCACATTCGAATGCAAAAACGTTGCATTCGAATTTTAGGTGTGCGTTAAGAAGGCAGCCTTCTCAGCGGCGCACGAGATGCGATGACGATGTGAGTGTCGTTGCATTATTATGTGTTTGTTAGCGTATCCAGCTGAAGCCACTAGATGCGGTGCTGCTGCGTTCATTAAAAAATATAGCGGAAAAAGAGAACATCAATGCGGAGAAGATCTTGTTTACATTGTTTACATTTCATGCATTTTCTAGAGGGACATCTATCAGCTATGCACTCGCGTCTCGCACAAAAGAGAAAGCATGTTTAGAAAGCCATGTAAAATTAATGCAAGTTCAACTAGGTCATGGCTCCTAAATTATTTAAGAGAGCCGGAGAGGTCTCCTAATCTAGTTAGGAGTAACAAGACGGCAGCAAAGAGGAGCAGACGCACACTTTCCAGCAAAGATATGACGTACTGGAGTTACATGATGATATGGAGATGATAAAACAATACAAACTTTGTTTTTTGTGTGTAACTGACACAGTAAGAAATGTAATAACCTCTTCCGCTCAACAGGTCAATGCTGTAACTGCAGAAATGAAAGTAGTAATTACATTTTTCTGGCTGGAAATGTGGACAAATGCAGCAGTGCAGCGGTGATGACGGTACGCAGACACAACTGGCCAAAAGTGATGTGCGGAGGGGGTTTATGACCCCAAACATCAGAATACAAAGGACAAAAAACACTGATGGACACAGTGTTGCCAACTGCTTTCAATTGAAGGTAGCTGAAACTGAAGCTAAACCGGTCACTTAATGTTGCTAATGACCTCATAAAGGTGAGATATACTGTAGATCAGTGAACTCACCTTTATGACGTCATGGGAGAGTCTCGGATGTAGATGAGGTTTGCCCAAGAAACTGATTTTGTTGCTAGGCTTCTGAGAAAAAAAAGTCTCTAAAGGGGTGAGGAAGTCACTAACAAAATCACTAAATCGGCAACATTGGCTACAACATAAGTTATTAACATTTCATTGGTCCTCATGTTTTTGCAGGTGTTCATAATTTCTTTGTTTAAAGGGGTCATCGGATGCTAAATTCACCTTTGTTGTTGTTTGAACATAAATGTGTGTTGGAAGTGTGTGTACACATCCACCCTATAATGATAAAAATCCACCCAGTGTTTTTTTTTAAATCCTCTTTCTCAAATCAGGCTGTTCTGAGATTCCTGTCAGAAAGACGTAGTTCTGTACAGGCCCCTCCCACGATAGTTTGATTGACAGTAGTGTTTCAGCACAGACTGGACTGGTGTCTTACTTAGCTCCGCCCTGAGTGAGCTGTCATCAGTCCGCCATTGTTTCACCGCCGGAGCAGATGTAGACAAGAATGACTCCTGAGCGATTGAGGTGTTCTGTTGTTGGATGTAATAATGAACAGCAGTCCTCATTTACACCAGACATCTGAGCCGCTGAAGATGCAGAGGATTAACGTTACTTTTGTTTTTGAAGAAAATGCGCCAATCCCCGATCTGCCTAAATGCGTCTATGTTCGCGCGAATCATTCGTGATCCAGCTTCATCTACAGAAGAAGTGAGCATAAGGGTTTTTTATGAATCTCTGCAAATCACCTTTCCTAATAATGTGCCTAACGTTCCTAAGTTCTGTGACTAAAGTAAACAGTATCATGAGAACGGCTCATCACCCACGGAAGAGAGGGGCGGGGTCAGCAGAGCTCATTAGCATTTAAAGCAACATGGACTAGAACGGCGTGCTGAAAACAGAGCTGATTTTGACAGGGTAAAAAGGGTGTTTTTTACACTACCTTTGAGAAAGTTTAACCAAAGTAAGTTATAGATTTTTCATTAAGACCCCAAAGAATCATATCCAAAACCAGCTTGTGGTTGCAGTGCTCGGCATCTGTAAAAAATGAAGAAACATATATTGCATCCGTCTGCCTCCGTATTCTGCTGCCTCATTGGATATCACAAAGTCTTTGTCGTATCTGTTATGCTTGGCCAGTGTCGTTGTGAGTTTCAGTTTTGTAGACTGTAAGGACCTTTGAAATAACTGCATTTGGTGAACTGATATGAACACGTAATGCTGTGAAGACCTGCCTGGAACTGCTTAATATAAATAACTGCACACCTTAGAATATTAACCAACCAATCAAAATGAAGCCCGGCCCAGTAGTATAACAATCATTTACTTTTTAGCTGATGCTTTTACCCCAACCAACTGATTTAACACATTATATGGGTCACAGTTTATGAGTAAAAGAGTTCCCTGGACTCTTGTGTTGTTAGTGTCATACAGTACTGATGGAGTCATGAGTACACTTTAAAGTGTCCCACTTCCTCTTTCATAGTGTCTGATACACCGGAGGGGAATTTCCATTCCCTTCTCTTTTTATGTGGCTGCACACTCTGGAAACAATCCAAGCTTCTTGTATCTGCAGTCACATGCTTTCCACTTTGCAGTTGCTGATTTTGAAAGTAAAACCAAGATTTAAACTGCACATTGTTGTTTGCTCAGTCAATAGGAGGAGCTCAAATCAGCCACCGAGAATAACTAGAGACACACTGAGAGACCAGGAACGTCCCCTAACTCACTCTAGACCAATCAGCATCCAGAGTCTGGAGCCGAAGGTGTGTCTAAGAAACATGGGTAGAATATCAGGAAGCTGCATTATAAACACAACTCAGACTGAAGTTAGACTGGAGTGAACTAAAGCAAACCGGTAAGAGACGCTCCTTCATTCAGATCATTATAGCACCTGTGCTGCTCTTATATCTGCACACAATACAATGTCCAGTGTTTCACACTCAGCATCAGCACAACAGCAGATTCTTCATGTTTGTTTTTGCTCCTGCAGTTGATCATGTGTGACCGTGTGTGTGAGTGTGTGTGTGTGTGTTAGTGAACTCTACAACCTGACGTGTCTTGATAGATGTTCTGGCCATGTTTTGTTAGAGCACAAAGGACTTTGTTTATGTGACATGATTAACTTGTATTTTACTTCTTTAGTAGAGACCAGCATCAACTAAACCCAGTCTGGTTAAAGAGTTAAAGACTTCACAAAACAAGTCTGACAGCATTTCTATGTGTCTTACTCAGCCTGCTTGTGTAGTTTGATGTGAAAGTGTGAAAGTGTAGCAATATTTTACACAAACAGAAAGAGGAAAGGCTGCTCGTGTGGGGAGTTATTGTACTGTCTAATTGTTACGTTCCCGTTTTATAATTAATCTAGGGGAATAGACTCAAAAAAGTCAGCAATATTGAGAGTTGGGTTCAACGGTCTAGGTGGGAGCACAGCAACAGTACACTAACTGAAACTCTAGCACAGATTTGACATTAAGTATCAGTCAGCAAACACCAAAAACAACAACACTTGTCTGGGGCATTGAGCGAGACAGCTCAAACTCTCTCCTTTCCTCTCTCTCTCAACTGTGCTTTCTTTGTGGTTTTATAGCTGGTTTCCTCTCTGGAGGAGCCAATGAATGAGGAGTTAGTTGGTCATCAGCAAACGAGTATCAGGTGCCAGTAATCAGCTCCTATTAGAGCAGCAGCACAGGAGAAAAAAGAAAACAGAGAAAATACAAAAACTCTTGACTGACCCCAGAACAGTACAAATTACATCACAGGACGTAACACTATCTAATATAACACCCAGATTTTTGACTGTAGAGGAAGTAACAGTACATCCGTCTAGTTGCAAATTGTAATCCAAGAGATTATGTGTACTGTTATTGGTCCAATGAGTAATCTCTCTGTTTTATCCGAATTTAATAGGAGAAAAGTATTGGTCATCCAATCTTTTACATTTTTAACACACTCTGTTAGCTTAGATAATTTAGAAGTTTCATCTGGTCTTGTTGAAATATATAGTTGAGTATCATCAGCATAAAAATGGAAACTAATCCCATATTTTCTAATAATATTTCCAAGGGGCAACATGTATATTGAAAATAGCAGAGGACCTAGGACAGATCCTTGTGGCACTCCATACTTTACTGGTGATAATTGAGATGACTCCCCGTTTAAATAAACAAAGTGGTAGCGTTTGGACAGGTAGGATCTAAACCATCTTAAAGCCTGCCCTTGAATACCCGTATAGTTTTGTAATCGATCTATGAGTATGTCATGATCTATGGTGTCGAACGCAGCACTAAGATCAAGTAAAACTAGCAATGAGA